AACCGGCGGCCAAGGGCAGTGCCAAGATTGGTCAACCTTGATGGCTTGGCAGGGTTACTATCTGGAGTGAAGCTGACTGCATTTTCCCGTAGGACTATACACCTGTTGAGGTCATCCAGGTTCCGAGAAATCTGGTATCGCTTGACAAGGAAACTGCTCAAACTTGTCCATCGAGATGGCTTGTTTGGATGGTCATCTGGGGTCAGGCAGACTGCGTTTTCTCCCAAAGACACAGCCTTGTCGAGATCACATGGATCACCAAATCGATTGAAGTGATGGACATGGGCAGCACCTAGTGTGTTCAACCACAATGGTTTTTGGCGGTGGCTGTCAGGAGCAAGTTGAACCACCTGCTTCATCACTGAGATACACTTAGTGATGTCACCAACATCACCAAGTTCTTCAATGCGGTCTAGAATTGCGATGCCAAGATTCGCCAGAGAGATCATGTGTCCTAATCCATCACGCACTGCATCATCATATGTGCAGATTGCTTGGTTCAAACCATCCATTGTAGCGAATTGTCTCCACTGCTCCGAACAAATGTCACCAAGGAAGTTCAGATACCTTCCTCGGTTTTTGTTTGCACCAGAAAGGAAAAGGATCCTTTCATGCATCACCCAGAGCTCTTGAGAATCTAACTGGATTTTGGTGCTTGTCCTGTTTTGCATCTGCATCAAGCGAGCCCTGATTGTGAGATAGTTTGCACGCGGCTCTGTGAATGCTTCAGAAGACATTTGTTTACATTTAAATGAACCATATCTCACTTTGAATTCTCTGGATATCGTGACAGTCAAGTTTTGATGGCTGTGAAACTGATGACGAGATTGCGAAAGTTGTATCCACATGGAGCAAAGGACCATCAGAGTTCACTTTAATAATTGGTAGGCTGAAGGCTATGTTGTACTTGTTGTTAAACAGGTTTCACACAACAAGCACAGGACTCACCCTTTTGCTGTCCTATAGATGAAAGTGCTTCCTCTCGTTGAATTTCAGCGATGCCTAAAAGTCTCACGCCCCGATGTTGGCGCATGATTGCTAGCCTGAAAGTGTTTGCATGTGGAGGGCTGTTGAAAACAACTAAGTACACTGTTGGTTATAAGGGTAGAGCTAACATGTCACAGTCAAACTTCAGGTGCCAACTAATTGAACACTGGCTATCTTTCGAATGCATTGGACTGGTTTTCTGTACAATAGTTCCGTCAATGATGAGCTGAGCAAACATTTGCATGTCTGTGGGAAGATCAGCATGCAGATTGGAGAGTGAGCTGATCTGGATATCTGGAAGTAGTCAATAATTAATGAGCAAACCGAATGGAAGATCAGACCATGAAGATGGATACTAGTAAATGTAGCATGCTCAGCAGAAGTTGTGAATCCGTATCCAGGCTCACTCACATTTTGGACATGGTGTTGTTTTCAAAGAGAGACTATGGAGAATCTGATAGCTTTCATTTATGCAACCTGGAACGGACAGACAAAATGGAAGCGAGAGCCCAGGTGTGCATCTGAGGCTTTCTATTGGCCGGCATATGTAACTTGATAAACATATTTAGGGACTCTATCGCTATTGGGCAGAAGACCAAAAAAACCCACGCTACGACTTGATACATGGAAACGTGATTATGTCACCGGCCGAAACCTGCGAGAAGCGACTCGATGCATGTGGGTTGCCCGTGCGCATTAGATAACAAATATAGAACTTTCTTTTTTTGTCTTTTTTTTGGGGGGAGTGGGGGGATCAACCAGCTGCGACACTGTCAGTCTCAGGCTCTAAAGGGAAGGCCACTGAGTTCCAACACTGTTGTCTAAAAATAGCATCAGTGTCGCAAGTCATCCAATCTATCATGTTCTGTATTAGCTAAAAAATACAAATATCAAGCAGTTTGGGCAAGCAGAGCACGCCCTGTATGCGGGTATAAATATGTTGTCCTCGGTTAGAGTTCAGGTTTGAGTTTAGAGGTTAGGGTGGTTACTAGTAGTGTATGACCGAGTAAAATATCCACGGAACGCAAAATGCCCGAGCAAGGAAGAAATATTGCATCATGATCATGTTGTACTTCGGTATTTGAACACGCAGGCTCAAGCTAGGTAAACATAAAAAAGATATATACTTACCGATAATTCGGACACAGGGAGTCGAACCCCGGACTGCCTCCAGACACCTCACCCTTGAGCGTGGAATTCAAATAGAGGCTGCGTACCATACACAATGTCCCCTACCAAGTCAATTGGGCTCGTAATCTCCGGGACAGTATTACTTGGCCACAAATGACAGTACACAACATGCCCGAGATGCCTGAAACTGACATTCACCCTCGCTAGTATGCTATCGATATTATGAGATCCAATTGAACTGTTCTTTTGCCTCTGAGCTGTTCACGAAGGTGGACATTTCTGGTAGCCGGGCATAAAAAACAAGGGAATAATTTACCAGGGTTCGGACACGGGGAGTCGAGCTCGGGGCTGCCTTCAACAAGCATTTGATACCTACCCCATGTGGGGAGGCAGTGTACCGTACACCATATCCAACTCATTCCTTCACCAATGAAGCTCACTAGGTTAGCATTCTCCGGGTCGGATCCAGCGAAATATGGACGGGACAAAGGATTCCCGAAATATTACAACATCACGTACTTTCTTATTATGCATGTTTTTTTCACTGAGTCGGAAAAAGATATACGAGGACTACGGAGCATACGGACACGGGAGTTGATCCCCGGACAGCCTCAAACAGAGGTTCGATGCGCTGTAGAAATGGAGGCAGTGTACCGTATAACATATCCGAGGTATTCTCGCACCAACGAAGCTCACAAGATGCCTGAGATGCCTGAAAATGCTCACCCTCTTACGCTGCCCGTGGATAATTCCCGGAAGAAATTTGAATCGTGGTACCCTTGCCAATCGGGTCGCAAACCTAGTAATGAGCTCGGGTTAAAACCCATCCTACAGTACCAATCCAATCCATCTCCCAAACACACCAAACAACTCGGACACCGTGCACGGTGCACACCTCCACACACTGTTTTGGAAGATTACAACAGTTTGTGGCAGGAGTCCTTTTGGGAGTCCTGGGTTCAATCCCCAGCGTCCGAATTGAGGTCATCATGTTTTTTCTTTTCTCTTCCCTTTTTCTTTAAGTTTCCAGCCATTTTTCTCTTTCAAGAATTCAAATATTCTCCAGCCCTTCTCATCCTTTAGAAATTAATCGGAATTGAAGTCACTCGGAAAATACTTCACGGTTCAAACTTCACTGAGTGTTTATTGCCAATCGGGCCCGGGTCGCACGGCCAAGGAACTCGAGTTGAAAGCCAACCCAGCAATCCGACTACCGAAGCCACTAAATAAATCGGACGTCGTGCACGGCGCACGCCCCACACAGTACCACGAAAGGGTACATATTTTGCGGCGGGAGGACTGGGTTCGATTCCCAGCGTCCGAATCCATAACCGTGGTTATCTTTCTTTTTTTTAGGCGGGACCTCGATTATAATAAATCGGAATCCGGTGCACACCCCCACACACTGATCTGGAACAATGTACTGTAGCTCAGGAGGCCCAGGTTCGACTCCCAGCGGAGTCCGAATATGGTAATTTTTCGTTTCTTTTTCTTGCCGGCTGTTTGTTCTCTTCCGAGAATTCGAATATTCCCCAGCCCTTGACATCCTAACCAATCGAAATTCAAGTCAAAGACCTGGCGCGCAATTAACAGTACATCGAGTGCTTATTGCCAATCGGGTCGCACCCAACGAACTCTGGTTGAAAACTTACCTACAGTACCAATCCAAATCCCAAAGCCATAAATAAATCGGATGTGGTGCATGGTGCACGCCCCTACACGATTTCAAAATTCTACAATGTGTTGCGACGAGAGTCCTGGTTTCGACTCCCAGTGTCCGAATAACTCGAGGCACTCATGATCTTTTGTTTTAGAGGGGATCATACAGTGCTAACGGCACGAAAGCGTTGTAGTAGTGGGAGGCCTGGCTTCGACTCCCAGCGTCCGAATAGTCCATGAGCCTTTCTGTTTTTTTTAGGCGAGACCTGGATCTCTCTTCCGCCCGATTGTAATTAGACGGAATCTAAATCGAAAGCCTTTAAAAAACTCACCCACTAATCTAACCACCGAAGCCACTAAATAATCGGACGTCGTGCACGGTGCACACCCCCACAGTTTTAAACAGTACTTGTTGGTGGAAATTTGCGGCGGGAGGCCTGGGTTCGACTCCCAGCGTCCGAACCATGGCTAGATTGCTGTCCCTCTTTTTTCCCACCTCTGCTCCAGCAGTCCAACTTACAAGACAGTGTTCAGCGCCATCGGCCTCCCAAGTAATCAAATTAGTCTTGTCAAGCGATATGTAGGTGCGCGTCGAGAATCAAGAAGATCTTTCAAGTTCATTTGGTCCTGCGCCAAATCCATGTTCATGTTGAATAATGTCTCCCACCAATCCAGCCACCAAAACAGAGGAATAAGTCGGATGTGGTGCACGGTGCACGCCCAAACGCTTGCTCCAAGATGCAGAAAGTTTGCGGCGGGAGGACTGGGTTCGACTCCCAGCGTCCGAATGGCATGAAGTTTTCGTTTTCGTTTCCTTTTTTCCTTTTCTTCGACTTGCCGGCCGTTTTTTCTCTTTCAAGAGTTCGATTATTCCCAACCCCAGCTCCCCAGCTCTTGTCATTTAATTAATCGGAGTTCAAGTGCGCACTTCACAAGTGTTGATTGCCAATCGAGTCGCAAACCCAAGGAACTCGTGCTGAAAACTTACCTACCAATCCAACTCCCAAAGCCAGTAGATAATCGGACGTGGTGCATGGTGCCCACCCGCCTATAATTGTCCTTGCGATTTTTGTTGTAGCGGGAGTCCTGGGTTCGATTCCCAGTGTCGAATTCAAATAAAGTGGCAACTTTTTTTACTGATCTGATTACAATGAGATGGAATCCAAAACGAAAGCCTTTAGAAAACTTGCCCACCTATCCAACTACCGAAGTCACTGAACAAATCGGACGTGGTGCACGGTGCACGCCCATACAGTGTGGAAGGTGAACATAGGTTGCGGTGGGAGGCCTGGGTTCGACTCCCAGCGTCCGAATCCAAATGCTCCATTATACTCTTTTTTTTTGAAGAAATAAAATGAAAGGCGGCCCGGGGTCCTCTTTGGATTGTAATGAAACGGAAGGAGCATGTAAGTAAGATGACTCGCATTACATTGTAAGTACTTAACAGGGTTATACATTATCATCATCACTCATACACACCTACACCGACGCCGACCCGCCCCCGCCCCCACCGATGTGCATCCCTCCTTGAGCGCTGTATCAGCTTCGGCTTCTTGCTCTTCTTGCTTTTCATCTGCCCTTGCCCTCTCCTGCTGGATCTGCGTCTGCGTTCTCGAGTCTCTCCCCCTGCGTCGACGACGTCCTCCTCACCGGCGCATACTGGCATCATCATCCGCCTCCTCGCTCTGTACACCGCATTGAGACCTGAGGGAGGAGCGGCAATGTCGCCTGTAGGTAGGTTATCTTGAAGGCGGGATGAATTTAACGCGCGGAGCCCTGTTTGAGCGCGGGTGAAATTCCCGTGGGTATGTTATCCTCCACCCTCCCCGAATTCAGCGCGGCGGAGCCTCTCCTCGAGACGCGTGAAGTCCCCCGTCGCCGGCGGGATGTCGTGACTCTGAGGGAGATCCAAGTCCCGTGGGTACGTTGTCTTGAGCGAGAAGTTCAGCGCGGCGCTGCCGTGTGCGCCGACGCCCGCGAATCCCTCTCCCTCTGCCTCTCCATTACCGTCACCGTAACCATGTGGGGTGGGCGTCGGGATGGGGACAGGCGTAGTAAAAGCCGGCTCCGACCCCGGTGTCCGCACACTCTCGCCCTCCGTCTCCGAAGAGGCGGCGTACCCGCTCTCACCGCCTGTAAGCGAGGGTGTGCTCGGCATCGAGGCGGGGACGCCGTGCGGCGTGGGATGTACCTCCCCACCACGCTCGAGGGCCTACGTCGGGACTGCGTTTACGTTGACGCCAGGGTCGGCGACGCCGGGGTGCGAGGGGAGGAGACCTGAGGTCGCGCGGGGGTGTTCTTGAGTCGTATTCGTACTCGCAGACGGCGCGGAGCTCGACGACTCCGCGCGAGCGCAGGTCGTGCTCTCCCGCGGCGAGCGGGATGGGGGATTGACGAGCTGCGGGTGTTCAGGTCCACATCTGCGCCTGCAGCGCGTCGGCACCAAGGGTCGACACGAAGACGTGGGGAAGGCGAGTCCGCGCGACGTCGGGGTGCGAGGGGAGGAGGCCCGAGGCGCGCGAGGTGCAGAAGGAGAAGGTAAGAGAACGAGGGCGAGGGCGGCGCGATCGCAGAGGAGAGTGCCCGGTGTGTGCTGTGTGCTGAATGTGTCCCTGCAGAGGACGTGGTGCGGTACGACTTGTGGCGGACGTCGACGGGGGTGTCTGCTGCGGGAGGCCGAGGACAAGGACGGGGAGGAGGGGGGCAGCGGGGGACGGAGGATTCGGATGTAGGGGTGCTGGATTCCGCTATGTAATCAATATGAGTGACTATAATCGGAAACAGATGAAATAGAGAGACGCACGGAGATATGCAGCACTGCTTGCGGGAGGTACGCCTTCGCGGTGGCCAGGCTGGCATGTACGACTGCGCAGTCGCGAGGAGGGTATCCTGCGGCGCATAGTCTGGGGTGTCTGGCTCCAGATGTGCAGGAAATCCACCCGGGACAGCGGGGCCTGAGGTGCCGACGGGGGTGTGTGTGACATTTCCACCGAGGACGTCCTTCATGTTCTCGGCTCACTCGTTCGCTGGCGTTTGCGGGAGCGGGCCCGAGGAGATGGTAGGGACCAAGTTGGGCGGGGAGGGGTGGATAGCCGTCATCCTAGATTATTTCCACTGTATACGAGGGTTTCTTTTCGTTTATTTCCAGGGTTAAAGCAACTTGGAGACTGAGACGAGAACGCGACAATAGACAGGTTGCGCACGAGCCATTGGAGCCACCCAGTGGCTCTCGGACCGTGCGCAAACGGGTGGCTCCACCGCCAAAGTATGAGGTGAATGGCTGTGAGTGGCTTGTTGGAGCCACTCGCCTGCTATTTTTGCGCACGGTCCGAGAGCCACTGGGTGGCTCCAATGGCTCGTGCGCAACCTGTCTAATGAAGCGTTGCAAGTCTTTCGAGTAAAATTCCAGTTGAATAGCAGAGGTTTCGAGCCCAAAGCAAGAAGCAGATTCAGTCCCATGTTGACGCGCAACGCAGCCTTTTATATGGACGGCTAGACAGTGGAGTTCAAGACAGGTGGGGAAGCAAGGGAAGCTGCAGGACCTTAAGGCTCCAACCGTTTCCGTTTGTAAACGTTTTCAAACGGTTAAAACCGTTTTTATTTCCATTTAGTTTGCCCGGGGTAGCAAACAGTTTATAAACCGTTTGTAAACGGTTTAAACAGTTGTCAAGAATCCGACAGCTTACCACGTCTTGGAGGTTATCCTCTGATGAAAAAAATGTGTCAGCCGGGTTGATAGGGGTGTTCAAAGCACGGACCCGCCCACCGACACGCAGGACCTTCCAAATTAGTGCGCGTTTCGATGATGCTCAGCCTTCTCGGCAGATGAGGCATCAGCATTCCGCCCTTGTCTCGCCGTCACGCAGATCTTGGTGCACTTCGGGGTCAACGTATAACATCAATTTGTTGTATGCATGCTCAGAATGGTCAAATTACTTGATTTGACCCCTCCATCAGGTGCGAGTGAACTGCTCTGAAAAATACCATTTATAAACTGTTTAAAACGGTTTTAAACTGTTTACATACCGTTTCCGTTTGTTTTACCCGGGTCCACAAACGAAAACTAAATGGTTGGAGCCTTACTGCAGGTAAATAGACGTAACTAGTTTCGCAGCCACCGTGATGGGATCAAACAAACCTTGGTCCCGAACCTTCACGTCCTCAGGCCTCAGGCCTGGCGCAGCTTTTGTCTCTGCCGCGGTGCCACACCCGAACGTCTCCTCAGGAGGACCAACGCCGCTTATCATCAATTACTCACTTGGCTGTCGGCGGAGCAATTCTTTTTTAGATCTTGCATTCTTTCTTGAAGTTTCTTCCATCCGCCTTCGGACGAAACCGACGATTGCTCGCGTATGAAAGTACCCAAGCTATAAAATAACTCGGACGTGGTGAACGGCGCACTCCCGCTTGTTGTTACTGCTGCTTCGAACAATACATGCGGCAGTTGTGCGAGAAGGCTGGGTTCGACTCCCGGCGTCCGATATGCTAGTTTGTAAGGCTTTTTTTGCAGTGGTCGCCAGTGTGCCTTACGTGATAGAAAAGTGTTTATTGGCATGTATCTAGTGTCCCCTGGTTCTCTCTCTCTAACGGTGATTCATTTCCCCTTCAATGTCACACAACTTAAACTTACGACTCTCGTGAGCATTCCTCACCACTGTATACCTCATCTTCGTCTCTGACTGTGACTCACGCCCAGAAACTCGTCTACGTGGCCTGGCACCAAGGTCAAAGAGTACCTCGGATCTGGTGCACGGCACAGCCCCACTCATATTTGGAATTGATCTAGGGCAACTGATGCAGGAAAACCGGGTTCGATTCCCGGCGTCCGAATGTTGGAAAAGGAGGATTCTTTTTCTCTCACTCTCAGCACAGAGATTTCGCATTAGCTCTGCCAGCACTTGCGATTCGAAAAGATCGGGCTCGACCCTAATACTCCCTCGTGAGTGATATTGCAGACATCGCATGCATCGCCGTCGCTGAATCATGCATAAAAACTCACCTGCGTAGCCGGGCATCGAGATCAGAGAGTACTTCGGACGTGATGCACGGCGCACACCCGCTCATATTATGGGGTATCTGTGAACTGAATGTAATGCGGGGAGCCGGGTTCGACTCCCGGCGTCCGAATGAACGACGAGCACTCTCCTTTTTTTCTTTCCCCTTCTTCCTGGTTCTTTCCTTCATTTCCTTTGAGGTCATCAGATGGACGCTAATCCTTATGATAGGAACCCTCGCAACTCCTGTCTCTTTGACTATTTCATGCGTGTCATCTTTATCGCGGACTCGCGCCCAGAAACTCGCCCTCGTATTTTGGCACCAAGGCCGAAGAGTACCTCGCGCGTGGTGCACGGGACATCCGCTACCTATAATCGATCAAGGTATTAGATATGAATCCCGTAGGTCGGGTTCGACTCTCTGCGTCAGCTTAATTCAGTTTTTGGCGCTCTTTTCACTTCTACACTAATTCCTTTCTTTTTTGGCCCAAAGAACAGGCTCACAACCCCTCGTGAGTGATTCCTCGACATCGCATACATCATCGTCGTCTCTCTGAATCACGTCCAGAAACCCACGTTCGTATCCTGGCACCAGGATTAGACAGTACCTCGGACGTGGTGCATGGCGCACACCCGCTCGTACTTCTGCAGGAGGCAGCTTCTTGTGATGCGGGAAGCCCGGGTTCGATTCCCGACGTCCGAATGGATATATCATTCTTTTCGTTCTTTCTTTTTGTGATTTCGTTACTTCATTTCCTTCGAGGGCATTCACACGGACACTGATCTATCTGATAGCCTCACAACTCCTCTCTTGGAGGGAGTACTTCATGCACGTCATTATTTTTCGCAGACTCACGCCCCGAAACTCACCGCCGTATCCTGGCACCACGATTAGATAGTACCTCGGACGTGGTGCATGCGCACGCCCGCTCGCACTACATATTTTCCTTCAACTGAGGAGGATGATGCGGGAAGCCCGGCTTCGACTACCCGCGTCCGAATGAACGATGAACCTTCTTGTTTTTCTTTTTGTCTTTTCTGGATTGTTTCTCGAGGTCAATGTCACATGGATAATAATTTTTCTGACAGAGCCCCGAACTCCTCTCTCTTCGAAATTTCATGCACGTCATTGTTTTTCGTTGAATTACGTCTAGAAACTCACCTTCGTAGCCTCCTGTTGTAAGTTGAAACTAAATCAAAGTAAAACTCAGCGTTGAAACAACGTCTAAATATATTCATACCTAAATCAAAGTAAAACTACAAGTACATCAGTAAGAATATAACGAAAGGAAATACAAATGAAAGCTCACCTCAGCGTT